TTTTACTAAAGGCACTGCAGTTACTCAATCCAGTTTTTCTCAGACATCAAAGAGGTGCAGTTCTTTATACTTGCTGTGATAGAAATGGTGCTACAAAAAAAATAGCATGATATTCTACGGGTCTTCTAGACTATGACCAGTTGTGGATGGATCTAGTAGTTAATATATTGTTCTCCCTTGGCCCTCTCAATAAGCTTTGCCTTTAAAAGTTACTATCAAGGAAGCAGACACATCTTTTACAGGTCCTACCACCAGAATATAAGCGGTATCATGTCAGAAGAAAGCTCAAGTATTAACATTAGTAATGAAAACAGCAATGTTAGTAATAACACCTCTTTTGAACATTTACCATTGCTAGGCATGCTTTAAATATAGTATATCCTCTGGCCCATTTAATATTCACATGAGGTAAATACCACATTATCCTCATTTCAAAAATGAGGAAACAGGTCAGAGATGAAGCAATCTGTCCCAAAACAGAGCTAGTTACTGTTAGAAGATCTGATTATTTGTGCATTTTTCCATAGAGAATTTTTTAACCACTATATTGTACATAATTAGAGAATCTAGTAAACTTAAACTGAATAGAGGCTATAAACTGAAATTCATTTTCCAAACAAGAATGCCTTAGCACAACCGCAACCCTCAAAGACACATCTTACCTTTTACTGGGACTATTTCCTACAAGCAAGCTAAGAGTAAACACATTTTATAGAGAACAAATAAAAATATATTTGGCTTTGCTTTTCTTACTTTGAAATGTCTCACTGAATTGTCTGAATACCACAAACAGCAGTAACAGCATGTAACTTCACCAGACTAATAAAACTTTATTTTAAAATCTTCAGGTAAAACACACTGTTCATGTTTACAACTAAGTAAACTAGAGTAAAATAACAGCAAGACGTCTAATATCTTTGAAAAGTTTCAAAACATCAGCAAGAAACAGTGGGAACAAGATATTCCTTTCATGACAAACTAGAACTCTGTTGTTCCAACACCACCATAAGATCTATTTTAACAACAAACATTAACCTGAGATGGAATGAACATAAATGTTATTTCAAAATGTGTGACCAAATCCAGAAATTTTACATCGACAATGTAAAAAACCTTTATCAGCTTATTTCCTAGAAGAGCCATCTGGTCTACAAAATGAACCTAAATTTGGATAGACAACGGTAGATCATACACTATCTCACTAGGTAACAAAAAGCAGGTAACCTCCAACAATTTCTGGACCACAAGCTTTATTTTTCAAATCATCCACTTGAACCTCAGACATAGACTTTCCAAGATACCAGGTTTCTAAACCAGCCCATGAAAGCCTCAGCATCTGTAAGGTCACAGAAGTACAGCGAACACCAAACTGTGTGAGCAATGGTTCCAAGGGAAAACTCAGATAGCATCTGAACCCAGTACAGAACCAACTGAAACTCGCCTATTCAGATCTGGAAATAGAAGGAAATCTTCCCTCCCTTAGAACAAGTCTGAACTTCCATAACACCACAGCCTAGGCTTCCCTGATCACAGCAAAGCAAGAGAGAAGGACAAAAATCGGAGCTGGAGGGAGAGAAAGGAAAAGTGAGGTAAGACCTGGTTGAAGGAGTAGAACAGAAGGTAGGATGCCAGCTGAAAGGGGAGGGAAAGATATGCGGGTAGGATCCGCTAGTGCCCTCTCCAGCAGCAGACTGTCTTCTACAAACACAGCCCTTGGCTCTGAAGGAAGGGGAAATAGAGAAACCACGGCAGGAGTCTGGACACTGCCTCCCTCGTTCTGCTTTCTAAGAGAGATCTGGTGGGTATGGGGTCTTAGCTGCATCCCTCCTGACCTGCTAGGCCAAAAGAATTCAGACTCAGAAGCTTTCTAGCCCTCTTCACCCTCATTTACCCTGCAAAAAACTTCAGTGTGAACTGAGAACCAAAGGAAGGATCCAGGTAATGGCAAGAACAGCATCAGGAAAGAAGGACTATAAGGTGAGAGATTTTAAGTAAGAAGGAAAGTGAGATACTGGAGAGTTGGATAATAAGTGAACAGAGCACTCAATGAAGTAAGCTATAAAAACACTCATAAGTATTTAGGATTCAATCTGACAGTTCCAAGTATTTCATCACGTCTATTTCACTTTCAGACAAATATTTGTGGCCATGGTAATAATACAATATAGAGTTTGTTATGTGAAGGTATAAAAATAAACTTCTAGGTACATACAATTTCCTGGTGTACTCTTTATATAGTGATGATATAAATCACTTCAGAAAGGCTCTTGTTTACTTGGTAGGCAGTTATATTATCATTTGTCATTTTTTTACTCTACGAGCCCAAATACCACAAGTAATTTCCTTCCCAAGTAAAATATATTTAACTCTTTCTTGGGAGTGTAACTATAATTAAAAACTTGCTTCTTCAGCCCAAAGATTGTGAAGATTACAAAGTGTTATTTAAAACAGTCCCACACTCCATAGAACACATACCCAGACATGTATGGAGGAACACAGAACTTCTTTTTCCATATCCGTGAGACAGAGCTGCTTCCCTGAAGGCTCCTAAAACAGTTTACTTCTTTAAAAAAGGAGCAGCAAATCCCCAATTGCATAACAACATTTCTAGAATTTCCAGCCAAAGATAATTAACTACATAGGTAACCCTGACCAAATGGCCTGCTGGAGGATGAACACTACTTAGGTGTCATCTTCCTGCCCCCACCCCCCCCATGTGTATGGCTGTTCTTCCAGCTGAACTCTACCCAGATATGTGGGGCCTCTCTCTTGAGCAGAGATAAGGGGCAGGGTGACAGGCTCAACAGCACATCAGAAATGCAACATCAGAGACCAGTACGAGCCCCAAGGGTGCCTCCACCTACCTAACCCTCTGCACAACTTTCCTGTGATTTCACCACCAATTTCTCACTCCCTCACTGCTCTGGAACCTCTAAAATTGGTCCATCCCAGGACCCCTCAGAGATGATGTTGCATGTCATAATCTTGGCCCTATTTTTCTTTAAGACACAATTTAAGCTCACATAAAGCAAATTCAAGTCCCCATAAACAGCTATTTTACTTTACTGGTGCATTTCTAAATACAATTCGGGATCAGAGTAAATAAAATATTTAATATTTGACGTAGTCTTGGGCATGCTGAAACAGAAGGCAAAGTTACTAAAATATGAATTTCAGATATTACTACTGCCTATTCAGAATCTTTACGTATCAGCTCAAATGTCACCTGTCTAGAAAATGGACATACCTGAAAGAAAAAAAAATATGAGATTATCATTGCTAAGGACACTGTCGGCCTTCAACAGAACTGAATGATTTCTTTGCAACAAGTTTCCATTTTCAAGAAATTTGTGTCAGTACGCACACAAACTTATACTGCGGATAACAGAAAGAACACATGCTATAAATCAGACATACAAGAGTTAAAGTTTTGCATGTCACCAGCTATATGACCTCAGCTATGTATGCTACAGAAGAACATTGGAGGTTTGTGTCACTGTCTGTACAACAGGGATAACATTATCTTGCACACAGATAACTATAAGGATTAATGTGACATGCACACTGCCTACCAAGTTCAGAACCTGTACATACTCAATGTTAGCTCAGTTTGCTCCAACACAAACTGTACAGGGTGTTCTATAATTAAAGAAAAGAGTGTGTCTAATAAACATAAGAAAACTCAATAAAACACATTATGCTCTGTCAGATGTAACCATGGAAATCATGTATTTAATATCTATCTTCAATAAAACCAACTTTGCCTTGATTAAGCCAATTGTAGGCCAAAGGGGAGGGTAACTTCTAAGGTTGTAAAAATGCCTATCATACACTCACTTAAAACTATGTATGTGTAGAATTTAAGAATATGCTTGTATTCTTTCAGTGTCTATTAAGTAAAACATATCACAAGTTACCATGGGAGATAATCTCCTTTATAACTTAACACTATAAAAGTTAAAACTTCCATCATAAAAACCCTTTCTTCATCAAAATGTTTCATTTTCACGCATGTTCATGTATATTGTTGCAAATTATTCCTTAAAGCCAAAAGTAAACTCTTACCCTCCCAAAATGAAGAGTGCAAAGCAAGTTCCATTCAAGTTCATTCATGCCTATTCCTTTCTACAAGCTCATACATAAATACACTGTATGCTAAAAATTAACAAATGTCATTAAAGAACACAACTGAAAAGTCCTACCTGGCCCAAAGACAGAAAATTTTCTCAAAGAATTTAAATGCTATGCTTCGGTAAAGGCACACATGATTTATATCTCAACACACCGAGTATGAACTTGTGATGCTTTATTGTGCAGCTGACCTTCCACTTCACCTCGTCACCATCCCACCCCCACCCATCCCGCTTTAAGGCACTTCATAAGCAGATACACGGTTCTAAACTATAAACTCCAAAACTAGGATCAACTCGAATCCGCTATTGGACCTCAGAGGGGTGCTTAACGTGATCTCCTTTCAACCAAGGCAACGTCTTCGTCTTCCTGAACACTTGCCAACAATCATTTGCAAACCTCTTCCACAACTATCATTACTATTACTACGAGCCTTGCCCACATGTCTCAACACCTTCCAGGGAATCAGCCCCGGTTCTCGTACACTTAATCCTCGAACACCTTACCGGGGCTTGAAGCCTATCCGCAAGAGGTTGTCTCCGCGATGTCAAGGAACCGGTGAGAAAGGGCATCAGCCCCTCCAACCAGGGTCACCGGCACTCAAGACCCCCATCCGCGGCCACTCCCTCTCCCCTCGACCTCGGGGCACTGGGGCATCCGGGGCGGGCGCAGCCGGCGACAGGCCCCGCACAGCCCTCCCGCAGCCCCGCACATCCCTACGCCTGCTAGCAGCCAGAGGCCGGGCCAAGCCCCTCGAAACCCCACAGTCACGCACACGCCACGCGTCTGGACGCGGGGTCAGCAGGGCGACCCCGGGGCACCCCCAAAGTGCTGGCCCCCGGCAGGTGCGGGGTTTCGGCAGCACTCACCGGGAGGTCTCCGCCGCTCCAGACGCCTCACCCGGTCGCTGTCGCCGGCTCCCGTTGGGGGGTCCGGGCCGGCGCCGCTTTCCCGGCCGACCCCCCTCGGGTGCGCGCCGCGCCGAGGGCAGATCCGGTGTGAGCCGCCGCCGCCGCCGCCGCCCCCTTGCCTCCCTCCTCCCTCACGGCGTCCCTCCCACCGAGGCCCGCCTAGTATTTCCTGGATCCGGTCTCGGGGAGAGCTTGGCAGGCCAGCCGCCGGCTTCAGGGCTTCCGTTGGCCGCCGTCGCTCGCCAGGCACAAAGATGGCACCGCTGGGGACTGCCGTAGGCGCTCTCGCGAGGCTTTCCCCACAGGAACCGGAGGGCGGGGCCCCCACAGGAAAGGTGATAAATGAGCCCAGGCAAATGCTCTCCCATATCGGAAATGGGTAGTAGCAGTTACACGGAGAGTTCACTACGCCTGCGCGAGACCGTGGGGTTGACGCCTGCTCAGAACGGCCCCTATCGGGAGCCGCTCCCTCTGAGTTTTACCTGTTTCCTCTGGAGGCGTGGGGCGGAGTAACTAGGAGTGCAGCCCTGTGAAGGGCTTGACATAACCAGATGCCAACATGAGAGGCGTCTCTTAAGGCTTTGGCATCCCTCAGAAGCTCCAAAGGCCAACACACTTGTGCATTCTCAGGAGTCCTCAAGCCCTTTGCTCCTCCCTGTCTCTGCTGTGAGAGTATTCTTTAGAAAGTCTCAGATGCTCCTTCATTCTATTGGTTCACTTTATCAACGCCTTCTAGTGAGCTTAGAGCCCAGCTCGCAACTGACAACCACTGTCCTCAGCTTTTTCACATCACCATCTAACGATCTCTTTTATGTTGCTGCTAAGAAAGCCTTCAAAATCGATAGAAAATAACTCCTTTTCTAGTTTTTTTTTTCTAGTCTTTCATTTATTCAAATAAGTATTGTTCAGTTTCCTACGGATCAAGCACTGAGGAAATAGGTTTGCTCTGACCACAAGGAGCATTTGGTCTGAGATGGAGAGGGATAGAAAAAATAGTTTTGTGTTAGTAAGGAACAGAGAGAGCTTCATAGATATGAAGGGAAGATGTCATGAAGATACCTCAAAGGGGGAAAAAAAAACTAAAAATAGAGCTAACATAGGATCCAGCTATATCACTCCTCGGTATATACCCAAAGGACTTGAGCATACCACAGACATACTTAACCATCTCTACTTAATGTAGCACAACTCATAAGTCAAGATATGGAAACAACCAAGATGCCCATTACTCGATGAACGGATAAAAATGTGGCATATAAAAGACGTGAAGTTGGGGCTGGAGAGATGGCTCAGCTGTTAAGAGCACTGACTGCTCTTGCCTAGGACCCAGGTTCGATTCCCAGCACCCACGTGGCGGCTATGAACCGTCCTTACCTCCAGTTCCAGGGGAATCCGAAGCCCTCTTCTGACCTCCGCGGCATTGCACGACACAAGTGCACTCACATACATGCAGGCAATACACTCATACACAAAAATAAAAATAATATTTTTAAAAAGATGTGAAGTTGTATTCTACTACAGAGAAGAATATAATTGTCATTTCAAGAAAATGATGAACATAGAGATGTTAAGTGAAATAAGCAATCCAGAAAGACAAATATTGCATATTTTCTCTTGTGTGCAGAATCTAGATTTTAAAATTATATATCTAAAAAAAGTATATATCTGTGTGTACCTGTATATATGACATGAAAATAAATGGACTGTATGGGGTGAGGAAGGGGCCTAATTGGAGCAGGAAGGGGAAGATAATTGTATGTAAAAAAGAAAGACAAATACATATTCTCTCATATGAAGAACCTAGATTTAATGTTATATATACATAAATACATAATTATGTATAATACAAAACATTTGTTTGGAAGAAGGCAGGCTCAGAAGCAAGGAGGAGGGGCAAGAGAGGGTGATGGAGGCAAATATGAGCAGGGTGCAATGATGTACATGTATAAAATGTTATTTAAGAATCCCGTTATTTTGTATGCTAGCTTAAAAAAGAGTACCATGCCCTCAAACTGTGAAGCAAAACAAATCCTTTCTATTTTAAGTTGCTTTGTCAAATATTTTGTCACCGTTAAACAAAAAGCACCTACTATAAGTAGCAATTGCTGGAAGTGGCTACAATGTCTAGAGTAAGGGGGAAAATAGGAAGATTGGGATTGCCCAGTTTAGAATTTAGAGAAAGGCATGTTGAAGCAAAATTCCACCTTTTGAGGAGAGAACAGCATTCTCTGGTGATGGAGTCTCTGAGGATGGCATCTGACACTGAGTTTGCATGTGTGGGGAAACTGCAACTACCTCCTACTGCTGCTGGAGGACTCTCCCTGTAAGATCTTCTGATCTCCTTTCAGTCTGGGGATGAAAATGTGATGTGGACTAGAGCTGAACTTGAACCATCACTTGAAGCAGAACGACTCCAATATCAAGACCCACTCATATTGTAAGCCATATGTGTTCAGAAAGGGAGGGCCACACACCCTTATCACACATTCCACATAGTGAAAGCCATCATGCTAAATAGTAGTATGGCACTGAGACTTTTGCTTATTACATAGCAAAGACATACTAATATACAACATAAACTGCAGTTGGCCTCCCTCTGTCTTCTTGCCCCACTGTCCCTGGAGTGTTTTCCAAAATAACTTAGTGCTGCGTGTATCACATACCAATCATCAGGAAGGTGACTGCTACCCATTTTTGTAAAAACACAACCCAGAAGCTATGAACATAATTTGAATTCACAACTCATAATTTAATCGCATTGCTACATCTGTCTGCAGGAAAGACCAGCAAATAAGCTCTCATTCTAAGCAGTCCTATATGTAGCTAAAAATTGTATGATCTTGGAAGAGGATGTTTGTATGTGTGTGTGGGGGGGGTAGCCAGCAATGATTAAAAATAATCAAAGCTAAGGCTTGAATTCAAGGTTCGTCTTGTGAGTGGAGAGGTGGTTCAGCAGTTAAGGGCATGTACTGCTCTTGCAGAGGATCCCAGTTTGATTTCCAACACTCATGTTGGGTGGCTCACCACTGCCTATAACTCTATCCCCAGGGAATCTGACATCTCCTTCTGACCTCCATGGACAGACAGACAGACAGACAGACACACACACACACACACACACACACACACACACACACACCACTATATTTAAAGTTGTATTTTGTCTTCTTTCCCAGTTTGGTCCTAGCACCAATGAGAAGCTTAATTATCAAGGAAACAGGAAAAGCCCTTCTCTTTCTTTTCTTCCTGTCCTTAGGCTTCTACTTCACTCCCAATCCCAGCCCCATCTTGCTAATTGTAGCTTCTCCAGGAGAACAAAGAAGGTGAGAATAGAGTTGCTTCACTGATACTGTCCTCATGACATGGGAGACACTTAAACTTATCCTTTCCTTCTGGATTTATTTTTATTTTTGACTTCTTTTTAGCTCTTTACCACGAAGATTCATTAGTACATCTCAGGATCCAAGTGATGCTCTTTTCTCTGCCTGGCCTCTCTCCTCTGCCCCTGGTCTCCTTTGCTTTCCAGTGCTTCTCTAAGTCCTCTCTTCACTGGCAGTGGTCTCTGTGTGGCTGGAATGCCAGAGCTTGTGCTCTCACACACAAGCATCACACTTCAGGACCCTTTTCACTACACATTTCTTAGATATGGTCTCAGTCTTCTAACTTGTTTTCTGTCCTGTAGAATACTCACAGCTTCTTATCAGGGTCCCCTTGGCTATTAGTAGGTTCTTAAGCAGGGCACAAGCAAATGGCTCAAGATTTTTCCTTCTGAAACACTCATCTGACCATGTCTATATTGATGCAGGCATCCAAATTCCAAAGACATGTGTCAAGGTCTCCCTAAAGCTCATTAGGAATGACCTACAGATATCTATAGTTCAGTAATGAGGCAGCTGGTGAGTGATACATCTTTACGACAGCTCTAACATCTTTTCTAACAGCTCTCAGAGGCCACCTCACCTGGCTTTCCCTTCCCTACAAGGGAAGAAAATCTGCAATAGTCCTTCGAAGACTATAGTCAATAAATATTTCCCCTTTAGTCTCCTCTTATTTACGCAGGAGGAAGTATGTGAGTGATAGTCATAGAACCGGTTTTACCACCTCTTAGTGGGTCTTGTGGAAAAAAGCTTGAATTTCTTCTTTAGCATATGATAGAATTTATGGCGCATTCTTTTTACCTTTATCAGATACATCTTATATATCATTTCGGATATCACTGGCCTCACATGTTGTATCAAGGACCTATTTTTATGTAATAAACCCCTTCAAACATAATACTCTAAAATAATAATAATTTGCTGATTATGCAATAGATCAGCAATCTGGGGTGGACTTGGTTTAGCAGTTATCTTTCTGGTCTCAGTTGGGATCACACATGGTGACAAGAATGAAGGCTATTCATAAGACCAACAATATTTAATGTCACCCACAACTTCACAAGATATGACATAAACATTAAAAGTTAACTGTGGCTTTTTACTAGGCCATTTCATTAGGCTATCTGCCTCTTAGTGATGATATACATGATAAGAGTTGTGGTTCTCATTGTCATTTGAAACTTTACTCATTTACTACTCTTTACTAATGGATCCATTACTTTTAGGCAATTCTATGCGGGATATCATGTCAATGTGTGACTGTTTTGGAAACTTGAGAATTCATTCTGCAAAGAATGAATTACTGTACAGCAGACACACACACACCCTGTGGAAGAGGTCCAAAGTAATCACTCTGTCAAAGTGGCTGACTTGTCTCCTTGAGAATGATGCCATGTTGTGGACTTAGTATTAGTCTGTGCTGCTGGTAAATACCTAATTAAGTCTTAACAACAGTGAGCCCTTGCTGGGCCCCAAAAGTGACTGGGTTCTATTGAAAAGATTCCTTGGTTATTTATTCTGCCACCTTGTAGTGTAAGCCTAAAAGGAACCTTGTCAGTGATTGATTACTCAGGGTGCTTGATGTCTGCCAATTTAAATTTGAACAAATAAAGTTAGTTTAGTGATAAACTCTAGTATAATTTTTACCGTTAATGTGTAAAATGAATTATGTAAATGATGTTGTCTGTGTTTAAACTTGAGTTTTCCTGGCTATATTGTCTTTAAAAGT